GCTACGAACCACGGTGTCGGGGGTTCGAATCCCTCCTCGCCCACAACCGGCCAAAAAGGGAAGGACTTTTCCCTCTGGGGGTAGGAAAATCATGATCGGGATAGCGGACCCAAAGCTATGGAACTTGAGTAGTTAAGTAGGTCATTTATCATCACAAAGAAAAACAAATGGGCTCTATCACATCGATAGATTATAAATCTAATATTATTGATAAGCAATACCAATTAAACAAATCAACGCTGTAGCTATGAGTGCTACAGATGGTCTAATGAGAGGTTAATCCTGTGTTTCTTTGATAAGAATCAATACGATCTTTATAAGGTTCCTCCTCCGAATGAAATTCAATGGGATCCAAAGAGACCATGTCTTCATCCATAGGGTCCCGAGCTTCCAGATTGAAGATTCTGACCATAGGGTCGATGTCCCGAAGCATGTTCAGCTCAAGAACCTGATCTGAAGCACCCTGAGTAATAAAATCAAGATCGACCCCCTGCACCCAACCTAGTTTTGGGGCTCAAGTCGAGTATCCTCGGATCTCACATCAGAAACTGCTCTCTCAATGTCCTCCTTAGAATTAACGAGATCGTTAGTCTTGGATGAATCTTCTTGAAACAGGTCGATCAACCCTAGTCATTTTCTTGTTCCCGAATGGTCTTCTTCAATTCTTTTAGGTTTATGCTCTACTCCGAGTAAAGATCTGCCCGATTTGGATTTGCACATATAGGACAAATGCCCAATAGCATGTCTTTTTGCCATATTACGGGAGGAAACTTTGCGCAGAGTTCCATTACTATTAATGGGTGGCTTCACGATTTCTTATGGGCACAGGCATCCCAGGTAATTCAGTCTTATGGTTCTTCATCGATTGATTGTTCTAAAGTCGAAGTCGTTTCGTTAAGTCAAATTGAAAGGTCGGTTTTGTCAGTGAAACAATGGAAAGGGAGATCGGACCAACTCTGGAACTTTTAGGCTAATTAAAAGCCAAAACGATGTTCCTTTTCGAAGAGCAGAATCGAAGTACAGTGTTGAACAGGTCGGTGTAACTGTTGAATTCTATGGCGGTGAACGCTTGCCACATCATCACGACTTTGGCCACAAAGCCCTATCAAAAGAGGAGAAAAAGGGGTTTAGAGTCGTCTTTTCTTTGTTTGTATCACCGAGACACTCGAAGGGCCGGCCATATGTACCTCGCCTCGGGAGACCCGGCCCATTCAAATCAAAATCCCTCATGGTATCCAAGTTGAAAGAGATAAATTGAACAAGTATGGCCGCCCTCTATTGGGATGTACTATTAAACCAAAATTGGGATTATCCGCTAAGAATTATGGTAGAGCAGTTTATGAATGTCTACGCGCTATGGCATCGAGCCTGTTCCTGGAGAAGAAAGTCAATTTATTGCTTATGTAGCTTATCCCCTAGACCTTTTTGAAGAAGGTTCAGTTACTAACATGTTTACTTCCATTGTGGGTAATGTATTTGGGTTCAAGGCTCAGTGCTTTCGGACTAATAGGTTTCATGTTACGTCAATTTGAACTTGCTCGATCTGTTCAATTGCGACCTTATAATGCAATCGGGGGGTAGGTATTGGTGGGGAAGTTATAGACACCTTTCCGTACTTTGTGTCTGGAGACCTCGTGCTCTTCAAGAAATGAAGGCAAAGGCCCCCCGAGCCCGAGTTTACCGGGGAAGATTATAAATCTAATATTATTGATAAGCAATACCAATTAAACATATCAACAAAATATATCATAGAATATTCATCTTGACAAGAAATTATCTACATGATAAGATATGTATCACAAGCACAAGGGCTATAGCTCAGTTGGTAGAGCACCTCGTTTACACGCGCGCCAATGTTTTTCAGAGAAGTACATCATGTAATCAAAAAAGTTGATCTTATTGAGAAATCGATGTCTTACTCTATTACTTTGGGGTTATGGATTTTCAGTTTATGGGGGGTAGTATGGGATCTGTAGTGGGCGAGAAAATCACCCGTTTGATCGAGTATGCTAACAATCAATTTTTACCTCTTATTTTAGTGTGTGCTTCGGCGAAGTTTACATCTATTAGAATTGTCGCAGCTATGGTTGCTCATTTGGATTTTGAATGACATCAGATGGGGATGTCAAAACTTCATTTTGAAATGTGCGTGAGACCGCGATCCACAAACTTACGCATGGGACTCACCCTTTACTTGGGAATGAAGAGGGGAAACATAGCATGTCACAAGAGCGAGGATCTTTATTTCCGTCTCAGCAAATAATTTTTTTTCCACAGGGGATCGTGATGTCTTTCTGTGGGATCGCAGGTTCATCGTCGAGAATTGAATAGTATAACATAGGAAGATCTTTTATCCATACCTAATTATAAATTGGATTCCTGATTCAATCAAGAATTTCTTTTTTTTATTACTTTCTTTTTTATTGATCATTTTTTTTCGATTTTTTCTTTTCTATAACACACTTCCCAAAAAGCCAGTCCGGGGCCGGAGTCAGCATAGAATGAAGGGGACGACCCTAATGTTGTGTTGGCAAAGCCAACTTCTTGGGTTGCGGTGAATTTATCTTGAATCGGGATCTTTTGGCGCAACTTTATCCTAGTTTTGCTGAGGGAGCAACCCCATTTTTCACTTTGAATTGGTCAAAATATGCGGAATTTCTTACTTTTCGCGGAGGATTAGATCCAGTAACCGGGGGTCTATGGTTAGCCAGCTCGACCGGGATATTTGATTGGACAGAAGAACAACGGATTGAGTGCCCAGATCGTTACGCCTTTGGTGCGGGTCGGAACTTACCCGACAAGGGCGAGCATCCCTGCTTTCTTTGAAGCGTGCATTGGTCACATAGATGACTTCGTTAAGGAAAGCTGCTTGAAAAGTGMTCATCTCTTCGCTCTCCTCCCTTCCGCTAATGCGAATATCCCGTTCTTGGTTCTTAAATAAAGATATGTCTCCAGCCCCTGTTATGTTAGCGTCTTTAATCTCATCTATTGGTTGGAGCTCTCTTCGGGAAAGAGGGTCAGAGCAGGCATATGCCAAACGTGAATACCACCGGAAGCCACTGGCAGAACACCTGGTAAAGAGACCCAATCTTGAGTGAAATAAATACCGCAGCTTGAGTAGTAAAGTCTTGTGCTATGAACGCATAAGCAGGTAAAGAGTGAAATTACTCTATTACCCTCATGTTTCAAATTCCATATTTTCCCATCCTGATTCTCGGACCCTTCCTCCCCCTACATTCCCAAAAGTAAAACCCTAAACCTATATACTCGAACCATGTGTCTCCCTCCATTCCCTCCCTATTCTCGGACTCTTCGTCTCATCCATCCATAATGAACATTCTATTTCATATGTTCCAACGTTTGCATCCACCATCACCAACCAACATCATCGCTGTCTTGGATCTCGGAGGAAGCGAGGTTATTGGCTCGAATCTTCAAAAATTTTCGTTACTTAGTGTTAGGTTTCCATTTTCGGCGTTATCTGAAGCAGCCAATTTGTTTTACGGTAGATTGTAGGGCTCCAGATATCGAAAATAGAATAGTCATTTTCCAGATTCAATCTCGTACTCAATCCCGGACTCAATCCCAGATTCAATCCTGTACTCAATCCCGTATTTAATCCCGGACTCAATCCCGGACTCAATCCAGCAAATCGAATAAAACTACGTGAGATAAGAAAAGAGTTAACAAAACAAAATAAAAATTTTGCTTCATCCGGGATGGAAGGCAGAATGCATTCAATGCATTAAACCTTCCATCCCAGACCTTATCCCGGACCGTTTCGTTCCGGGATGAAAGGCATTCCAGCCTCATCCGAGATTGATATCGATCCGGGACAAACATCCGAGATGGAATTCAAAACGTCATCTCGATCCCGGATTCGATCCCGAACCAAATTCATCCGGGATTGAATACGGGATTGAATCCAAGATTGAATTTTTCCCCAAATTTCTCAGTCCTGCAAGCACAACATGAAAATGACCCTAGATCTACATGGCTGCTTCAGATAGCGCCGATAATGATATCAGAACAACAAATGTTTCTAAAAATTTTGTTATAATCTACCCGACCACTAACCTTGCGATCGATGACTTCATAGTGCGAAACAATGAAAGAGAAAGTCTTTGAAGCGTATGGATGATGGTGTGGATGACTCGTCCAACGTCCGAGATAACGTTCAATCCGGGATGGGGTTTAGGGTTTTAGGACAAAGGAAACGTCCGAGATGGGATGAAAATATTCGTTGGGCCAGGAAACGTCCGAGATGGGGTTTAGGGTTTTACTTGGGGGGAGTTCCCTTCATTTTTAAACATGAGGGTACTATGGTAAATTTGCTTGGGGAGAGGTTAAAATTAAGGGAAGTTTGGGTTATATACCAGGTTTTTTTAAAAGGGGTTCATTTATCCAATTTGAACTATTGGTGGGGTCAAAAATTCCAATTTTCCATTAGTACCTGTGACAAGTTACAACATAGAAGGCCTTACATGAACCTTTTTCATAATGGTGCGTCATTTGTAAAAGTTACAAATGACGCATAATCCCATTTCATCACTTATCTTTTTTTGAATAAAATTCTATCTTCTTTCGATTCATACACGTTTCTTCCAAATGACTTCTTCACTCCTCTCCACTATCTTATTGGGACATCTTTTCGGGTTGAAAGGAAGCTTCCCTGAAACCTTTTTGTTTGGGGATGATTTGGAATGAAACAAATCAACAAATCTTCAAAGAATTTTCCTTTGATCAATTCCATAATTTTATCATTATTATATGGTGGAAATGTTCCCATATCATACGTTTCTATAGCTTTAACATTATTTTGTCTTAAAAGGCTTTTTTAACTCCCTTTAGGTTGAGTTATCCTCATTTTTTTTTAATTTCATATATATGATCTTGTTTTATATATTTAGTAATAATTTTTTTGTTTCTTATTCCATAAAATTTTAAATAAAAAAAAGTAAAATTTTATATGAAATTTAAAATTTAAAATTAAATATATCATATTTATTTTTTATAATAATAACAACAGTACTTTATCCGTTAAAAAAAACCCTAAAACAAAAACTATAAACAAGAAACTTTTATATAATTTGATTGCTTCCAAAATTTCTACATTATTTTAAAAACGTTTCTTAAAATGAAACCAAGAAACATGAACAATTACCAATTACTATATTTATGCAAAATTAAAAATGATAAACCAGAAAAAAAAAAAGTAAAAATGTTTTACTTTATTTTRAGAAAAGATAGTACAAAATGCATCCAAACTTTGTAGGTTGTGGCTCCTTTTTGGTCCAAAATGCTTCATTTGGGAAAAAAAAAAAGAAAGAATTTGCAATGGGCAACTGTTTTGGTCTCTCCACTCATTAATTATGCCTAAAATTTGGTTTGTCTCTAACTTTTGTCTTTTTTTTCTTTCACTTTAATTTTTATTTTCAAATTCATAACTTCGAGTTTGTGAGTGACAGCTCTTCCTCAAAAGACTAATTGCTTTAACGTTTCTTCTTTCCTAAATTTAACAAAATAAAATACACTTTATTTTATTTTCCATACTCTCAAAACTTTCTAAATTATTCCCTTTTGATTTTTTAATTTAAAAATATCTATTTCGATTGTTAAACTTTAAAAATATTAATTATAGTCTTTGAATTTTTAAAAAATAATTATTCTTGCCTTTATTATTACTTTACTATTACAAATTGGTATAGCGTGATTTCAAGTGGGTAAGTTTTAATATTGATGTTGGTATATATTGGAACCACATAAGTTGATTGAGATTAATATTCAGTAACAAAATAATCAGAAATGTTATCTATTGGATGTTAGACTAAAATAGACATATTTTAAGAACCAAAATTAGACCTAAACAAAAGTTATGTTACATAAATAAATCATAACACACTTGACACTGTCTGCTCTGTCTTTAGAGACGAAATCGTTCTCACGTGATTTTTATAGCACAAAATATCAATTTTCACGATGATTTAGTTCAACATCAAGTGTCTATAAAGAAAAGCGTTTTAGTTACGAATCGAATCCCGATCATAAAAATTAGAAATGATGTTGATTAGAATTAGGGGTGATGTTGGAAAACATGGTTGGCAATGACAGCTGAGGAGGCATTTGTCTGCAGATTGGGTTGCTTTGAACTTTCATGCACCGAATCAGATTCCAACAGTGGCTTATTTTGAAGCTTCTGGTCATCTTCTTTGCCCCATAACAGCAAATACAGCCCCACGATCACTATAGCTCCACCAACAATGCTACACAAAATGGAACATTTACAGAAACTTTCCCACAATAATGCTATGTAAATATACTTTCGATGTTGTGTCTAATAGTTCTATGAATTTTAATGTTGTGTCTAATACTTCAGTGAATTTTAATGTTCGGTTTGTTATCTCAGATTTAAAGGGATTTCAAAATCATGAAGGATTTTCAAATGAATTCCGTTGTTTGGTACCTTATGCTTTTGAATGATGAAATCTTACTGGATTTTAAATCCCGTTTTTATGTAAAAAAAATTATGGATCAAAATGGTCGTATTTTGAAGCATTTCATAGAATTTTAAAGCAAATTATCTATTTAACCTTGTCATATTTTAATTTCTAATTAATAAATTTAGATTAAAAGCCCAAATCAATAAAAAAATTTATTTTTTCCCTTTCCAGGGGACATCTAAATAAAGAAATTTAATTTAATTCATTTCAGGTCATAATCGTTCCAAACAACATAAAGAACTTAAAATCATTTGTCGGATTTCAAATCACGGAATTTTAAATCATTTCTTTAACTTTCTTAACAACAAACAGAGGACAAAAGTGTATAATATAAATCTACGAACTTCAAATTTTTTGTCCAATTAGTCTTTAAACTATCAAAAATGTCTAATCTTAAATTAGCTATCTACTGAACACAAAATTAAAAATTCAAAGACCTATTAGACACATGGTTTAAAATTTAGACAACTATTAGACACGATTTTGTAAGTTTGGAGAATTATTAAACACTTTGTCAAGAAATTATTAAGTAGGGAATAAAACCATAATTCAAAACCTTTTTTATTTTTTTATTTTTTTATCATGTGTCATTTCATATTCTTGTTTCTTCTTCTAGTGTCTCTTTTACCTGCCCATGTAAAGCTTCTGTCCAAAAACAAAGTAAGCTAAGACTGCAACAAGAATGGCTGAAAGTGGGTTGAACATGGTCACAAAAACAGGTCCTTTTTCTTCTGTGCACCACAGTTGAATGTATATTATCAAAGCTGAGCAAACTATTCCCTGCATGAATATAAATTTGGTAACAACATCAAAAAATTTAAACCCAACTTTTTTTAACCATAAGCTTATAATATCAAAGGTTTCTTTCAGTTTTCTTACTGTATAGATAATGCACCAGAGATCAATGTTTAGTCCAACAGTCCAAGCTCCTGCCTTGTGTTGTATCAACACTGTGAACACACCTGATTGCGCTGCCCCGACAATGTTCATCCACGTCGTTAGCGAGAGCTGCGCCGGGTATCGTTTTAACGTAAATGCCTGCATTTTTTCATTGGAAATAACTATCCTTTGTTAACCATATATTAGAAAGATATTAATCCAGCTTTTGAGTCTAATAGAGATTTAACAAAGTTAGAGCTTCGTTTGAGTATTCAAATTCATACATGAAGGGAAAGTAAGTTTATAGTGATTTAACATGATAAACTAGTAGTCCATATGCGTTGCTATGAGTATTTGAATCGGAATATATGTGAGAGGACGTAAGAGAAAATAGCGAAAAAACGTTCAAATAGTAACTCTATAGCTATTTTGTCTTCTGTTTTAAAAAATTAAATTTGTAAACACTACTTTCACCAATGTATTTTTTGTTTTGTTATCTACAATTTAAAACTCAAAAGGTAATTTTCAAAACTTGTTTCTATTTTAAAATTTTGGTTAAGAATCCAGGTGAAAACATAACAAAGAAATTGTGAACAAATAAGTAAAATTTTGAGAAACGAAAAAACTAAAAAGGGGGTTGTTTCCTTTTTTTTTTTAGTACAACAAGTGAAGTGGAGGGATTCAAACTCACGATCTTAGGTGTCAACTACAGTTGAACTAAATTCATGTAAAAACGAGAGGGTTGTTTTACGAACATGAATCTCAAAATTTCTTTCCCTTTATTTTTCAATATAAAAGTTCTTATGGTAGTAAGAGAAAGTTAGGGTTAGAGACCTGCATAATGTACCAAATGGCCCAAGAAATGCAGCTTGAAACAGTAAGAATTGAACCCTTAAGCCAGTCCTCATGGAGGCCAGTAGCCTTGTGTTGAATATGGATGAGAGGATGCCATAGATTTCTGATGATGGGCCCCTTGTAGAAAGTCATTATCATCACCCCTCCCAATGATACCAATGTCCCCAAAACTTTTGCTACCCCTCTTGGATTTTGAAGGTCCACATCCTCCATTCTGCCCATTTCAAACGATGTTAGGGCTTATTTCATGACGTATTCGTCTCTTATTTCATAGACTTGTAAGTTTTAAAGACCGAAAATCGAACCTGAGCACAACTGCAATTATAAACGTCAAGCAAGCAATGGTATTGACCATTGATGCAAGGAAGGTGGGAGACGTGTATGTCAAACTCGCAAAGTACATGCTGAGAGTCAAACTCCCCCTGCATTTCATTGCGCGATTTTGAATTTTAGGGTTTGGAGTATACTAAATGTGTGACAAATAATCAAAACTTACCCCAAAAGAGAAAGAACAAAAATCTCCAAGAACAGTGCTACCGTAATCCTCGGCCTCATTTTTCTACATAAACCAACATTTTTTATAAGAAATAAATTAAAGATAGCTCAATTGATTAAGGTATATATTTCGAACAAAAAGTTGTGGGTTAAAAAATTTATACCCCAACATGTTGTACTAAAAAAAAGATTGAGTTTGGGAGAACCCTGGCCAAACAACGACCAAAAGAATAGCCTTCCCATCACAACCGTTGGGATTATAAATCATGATATACCTTTCGAGGAAATAAGCGAATGGAAACATGACGACACCAGCAACGAGTTGTCGATAAGTGATGTGGACGTAAGGATTCATTCCATGATTGAAGGAAGCATCTGTGATGAAATACATAAATGTGTAGCCCAACTGAGTAAAAGCCATGAGGATGTGTGGCTTAAACCTATTGAAAATCCCTCTCAACGAACAGACGTCGTTCATCGCCATCGCCATTGCTAGGGCAATGGTCGATCCACCGCAACTATTCCTCCTCGATTTATAAGTTAACTAGGTTCGGGTTTGGGAGCGTACATACATATACATATATATAGAAGAAATTGTTGAAAGTGTGTCAAGTTGAAAAAAGAAAGGTGGGCTGCGCATTGATTCTGAATAGCTCTTGTTGGCATCAAGAGTGGCGATCCCCATCAAATTCCACCACTTATTCCAAATTCAGAGACAACAAACATCTTCCTTTTGGTTTACTCATCAACCAATTTTTACATTGAGAATATATGAAAAAGAGCCAAGTTTAACTTGTTGATAATGAAGACATTAATCTCCTACTCATGTATAAAGTCAGCCACATTTAATCTTTTATATAATTTTAACAATTTGATTAGGTGGGGAAAAGGGCATTTGAGAAAAATGATGGTGGGATAAGAGAGTGGGGAAGATTGAAAATAAGATTGGTTTTACCTTTAAAATTAGAAGTGGATAGTTTTGGTTGCTTCTTAATGGAATTACAAGACAACACTTTATGGAAGAGAATTATTGCATCAAGGTAATTTAACATTTGGTAATGAATCCAATTCTTGAGAATATTTTGTATGTGATTCTCTCAACTAGAAAATCATCAACTATTGTGTTTTAGAGAACTTTCTGATTTAAATTCCTAACACATTTCTCTCGCTAATGTTTCCCTTCTATTTCTATATTTGGTTTCTCATTTCCTTTTTTAATAAAAAAATAGAAATACATTAGATAACTATTTCTTTATTTAAAAAAGGAAAAAAAATCATATTTGGTAATGGTTTCTTATTTTTCTTTATCTAAAATTTTAAATTAGAAAAGTAAAAATTTTATATGGATATTAGTTTTTTAATATTTATTATGTTTATAAGTGAACAATGATAAAACATTATTTCTATTTTTATTTTGGAAAAAACTAAGACATGAACACAAACCAAGTAATTTAATTTTGGTGTTTCCAAAATTTTTACACAATTTTGGAAATGTTTAAAAAATAAGAAACATGAAAGATATAAACAGTCACCAAACACTAAAATTTCTCGAAAAATAAGAAATATGAATGCTACTAAATGACTCCACGAAAAGTAAAGGAAAAATAAACTATATTCTTTTGCAGAAGTATCAATATTCGGAGTTCCATTTCAAAACTAATTGGCATGAGAAGAATATCAAGATCCTTCTTCTTTTCAATGCAGGATTCTTAACAAGAAGAATATGCAACCACTTGATCAGTGCCACTTGGTGGTCTAATTCCAACAAATGAATGGCTGAAATATTCCATTAAGGTCACGTTTACCTATCCGCAATTGTAATGAAAATCAATCGTAATGAAAATCGTAATTCGTAATGTTATTCCATTGGTGTTGCTTAACAGAAATTTTCTAGAATCGTAATCAGAATTCCTTTGGTGTTGTTTATCGGAATCAGAATCAGATATATGACAATTACTAATATACCCCTTTCTCATTTTTAGCTAATTACAAATTTATTATTGTACTAATTTTTTTAAATTACAATAATAATAAATTTTAATTTAATTTATTACTATATTATTGATAATAAATATTTTTTATTATAATAATTTATCTAATATTAATACATAATGAATAATTTGGGGTGGGTCGTCCACCATTTGATTAAATTCCAACAAGCGCATAAGAGGGAAAAATTAGAGAAAAGTACACACCCGTCAAAACACCACTACGTCCATATCTCTTATTTTCATTCATAATTCAGAAATACCTCTTGAGTAAAAAAAATTAATTTGTTTCGGAGCAAAATATCTATGATCATTAAAAATAGATAATGATCATATATATTTGCTAAAGTGTTTGAATCAGTATTTTGTTTGTCACTATTTTTCTGTRGCAAATAAAAAATTGATTGCAAACTTTCTTGGACAAATTAATTTTTACTTTACTACATATTATATTATATTATATTATATTATATTATATATATATATATATATATATATATATATATATAAAATGAAGTGTACTCAAAGAGTATTTATGAGTGAAATGATAAGAGATAGACATCTAGTGGTGTTTTAACCCTTTGTGTACTTTGAATGTGGCTTTTAATTCCTAATTTAACGGAATTTATGTTTTTCCAGACGAATTCTATAATAATCTATATAGAGCTGAGAGTTGTAAGATTAAGTTTGAACTCTAAACTTTTAAGATTATATTTGATACTTTCAAGAATATTAAATAAGTCCCTATAGTTTAATAAGTTTTCTATATGCCTCTGAACTCTCGATTTTGCATTTAATAAATTTTTGTGTTAACTCTTTTAATTTCAAGATTAACCTAAAAACTTAGTCAAAAGTATCTAGCTATGTAATTCTTAGTTTAGTCAGCCTACTAAAAAAATAATAAATTAAAGAAATTAACGACTTATTAAACATAAAATTGAAAGTTTATAGATCTATTATGAACATTTTGAAATATAAAGATGAACTAAATAATAGGTTGAGAGACTTAAATTTGTAATTTAACCTAAAAGTAATTATGGAAGAAGTGTAAAATAGTTTGTTTTTTATTTTCAGAAAAGATATAACAAAATGCATCAAAATTTAGTGGGTTGTGGTTGTGGCTTCTTTTTGGTCCAGAATGCTTTGTTTGGATAAAAATGGGACAAAAAGAAAGAATCAGCAAATGAGCAATTGTTTTGGTCTCTCTACTCATTGATTATGCCTAAGTTTTGTTTTGTCTTTAATTTTTGTCCTTTTCTTAATTTAATTTTTATTTTCAAATTCATAACTTCAAGTTAGTGAGTGACAGCTCTTTCTCAAAAGACTAATTCCTTTTGCCATTTCCTTTTTCCCCTTTTAAGATTATTATTTCATTTTTTGTTCTTTAATTTTCAAAATATATGGATGAATATTTGATGAACGCTCCTACATTGAATGAGATGAATATTTATTTTTAAAGTTGATTTTTTGTTTTTAAAATGATGAAGGCACATACATTTTTTATTTTATATTAAGTGAAAAAATAATAAACAAAGTTTTCAAAAAGTTGTGAGACTAAAATAGACATAAAACTTCAAAGATCAAAATGAGATTTAAACTAAAAATATATTATCAAAATAGATAATAACACAATTCCCACCCTAATATCTTTGGAGGGGAAATCATACCCATATGACTTTCACCATGCGATTATTATTTTTCGTGACGATTAAAGTAATATTAAGAAAATCCCTAATATTAGGAATTAGAGTGTAGTTATATTGCTACACAGACTACTTCAATATAATATCTCTCTTTTGATAAAGGTATAGAATATAATTTTGATAAGCATCAACATTGACGGATCAAGAATTTTTGGTTCAATAAACTTCACTCCATGACCACAACTTTATGTTCGCATAAATTCACATAAAGATAATTATGAACATGTTGAGATATATTGATATTAAGTTGGTTAACTTGTAATTTTGGCGTTGAGTTTAATAGGTCCATTATCTTTAGAAAAAAATTATAATAAGTTTCTAACTTCTAATTTTGTGTTTAATAGGTTTCTAAACTTAGCCTTTGAGCTTTTAATTTTCTATCTAATAGATCCTTAAACTTTAAAAATAGTTTAATAGACTAGAGAGCTATTATATATCAAATTGAAAATTCAAGAACCTATATTCATAATTAAAAGTTCGAGGTCCTAATTATACATTTTTTAAAGCTTAGAAATCTATTAAACACAATTTTAAAATTTCAAAAACCAAAATTATCATTTAACCCATTAAATTTGTTCGACAAGGAAGATGTCTAAATTTTCTATATAAATATAAAAGGAAAGAATAAAACTTAAAGTGACTTTTTTATTTATTTATAAAAATTATAGTTTTAAAACATAAAATTTAAAAGAGAAATTAATATAAAAACTCCAAAATTATATGTCGAGGTTGAGAATAGAGCCGTAGACATGTGAACGCACAGAGTTACACGTAGCAACGATCAGTGGATACCAACCCTACTATAGACGTACGACCAACATAAGGGGCGAGTAGTAGGAACATACTGATAGTCTCGCAACGCACCCTGCAGCAGGATCATGGTGGCAAGCGACGGTGGTAACACCACGCGTCACGGATGTTCCCTAACGACTTGCCAGAGTCCGTATGTGGATGGGGCCCACCAGTTCCACGCAAGGTGTCCATCATGGTCGGCTCTGTCACAAAACATACACAAGTGCTCTCCATTTCGTTGCTTCATCCTATTTACTAATTTGATTGTCAAAAGGACATTTATTATTGTAGGTTAGCATGTCCGACTACCCTTTTGAAGTACATGTGGACCCGTCAGATTTCGATATGGACATCAATATAAATTTATAAAATATAAAAGTTTAAGATCATTTTACGTTAAATTTAAAAGAAAAAGAGTTTTTATATATTTTTTAAATGGATGAAATCAATAATATTTGTTGTTTGCAAAAATAAAAAAGTGTAATAACAAACAATTGACGTATATGAGCTTCGAACTCCACGCAACAGATTTGAGAAACTAAATGCAAGCGTCCACACCATCTCTAAAAGAGGGAATAGGGAACACAAATAACCATTATTTACTATTTTTTTTTAACTACGACAATTCGGGGGAACATATCAATTACCTCTGAGCTATTCGAAACAAAACAAGGAGTACATGTCAATTACTGCTGAGCTATATTGAGGTTGGTTATTTACTAAATTTTAACTACTAGTGAAAATTCAAAGCCACAATCTTTTAGTCCGAAATAAATGCCTTAATTAACCAATCGAACTAGGCTCGAGTTAGTCAGAAATTTCTTGCACGGAATCAGATTCCAATAATGGCTTATTTTGGAGCTGCTGGTCATTTTCTTTGCCCCATAACAGCAAATACAGCCCCACCATCACTATGGCTCCGCCAAGAATGCTACACAACATAGAACATTTACAAAAACTTGTACACACAAATGCCATATCAATATACCATATGTCTCTTAAATCTAAATTACAAATTTGTGTTAAAATTTCAAGATCATATTTAATAAGTTCTTAAACTTTAAAAATAGTTTAATAAGTTGTTGAGTTTTAAATTTAGTATCGGATGGATCTTTAGATTTTAAAAAGTATCTAATGAATTATACATTTATTAGACACAAATTTGAAGGTTTTTGTCCAAAAACAAAGTAAGCTAAGAGTGCAACAAGAAATGGCTGAAAGTGGGTTGAACATGGTCACAAAAACAGGTCCTTTTTCTTCTGTGCACCACAGTTGAATGTATATTATCAGAGCTGAGCATGCTATTCCCTGCATGAATATAAATTTGTAACATCAAAATTTAAACCCAACTTTTTTTTACCATAAGCTTATAATATCAAAGGTTTCTTTCAGTTTTCTTACAGTATAGATGATGCAACAGAGAGCAATATTTAGTCCAACAGCCCTAACTTGACCATTCTAAAATCTCCAAGAACAGTGCCACTGTAATCCTCGGCCTCATATTTCTACATAAACCCAACATACTTTCATAAGAAACAGAGATGTATATTAATGAGAAAGACACAAAAGAATAATCAGCATACCTTTCGAGGAAATAAGCGAATGGAAACACGATGACACCAACAATGATTTGTCGATACGTGATGTGGACGTGAAGATTCATGTCATGGTTGAAGGAAGCCTGTGCGGCGAAGCATAGAGTTATGTTGGAGATACGTACTTTAACCAGTTGAGCTATGTTCAGGTTGACGAGAATATGTGGCTTCAACCTATTGAAAATCTCTCCAAGCGAATATACGTTCACCACCATGGCAACGGCTGATCCCCCGCAATCGTCCCTTTTCCTCTCTCTGTTGGTTTATAAGAGTTAACTAGGCTGGGGTCTGGGAGTGTTACATATAGAAGAACTTGTTGAAACTGTCAAGTAAACAAAAAAGGATGTGCAGATGATTGATTACAGTGCCAGCTTATTGGTTTTGCTATATTCTAACACTGCCAGCAAATACCTTTCCTTTTTCTTCAATAATTCCAGTTTCTGTTTCAATCACTCCTCCCAAATTCCCAAATTCAGATAGTCATTTACAACAGCAATATATTCCTTCTGTTTTTTGAGCATATTTTGTACATTGTGCCAAGAATTATTACATTCTCTAGAGATTTCCTAATTCAAATCCCAAGGCCTGTTTAGTAAATATCTGGGATTTTTCTAAGATAAATTTTAAAGGGTGTACTGGGTTGGTTCTTCAAACCTATTTGGATCTATAGGGCTTAACAACACCCAGAATGATAAAACAACATTTGTATTGATATTTTGAAAAAAAATATGAAAACGAGAACAAGAAACATGAAATTTGATTTTGTCATCTGTGTGAACATTTCTAAACATGAGAAATATGTAACCTAAAAGTTATTAAATGTTTAGATTTCTCCATAATTAGAAACGAGAAACAAGTATCGAGGAACTTTACCAAACAAATTCTAAACTTACCTGAAAAAAAGAAAGAGTACTAGATAAGCAAAGATTTAAACTCATTTAAACCATATTCTTTTACTGAAGAATACCGTTCCACTCGATGGATGCCACTTGGCGGTTCCAATTCCAACAAATGAATGGCTGAAATATTCCATTAAATGGCCAACCAAACAAGCCCATAGAAGGGAAAAGATTCTATAATGAATCTGTACAAGGCCAACACCCTAAAGTTTGACTCTGAAGTCCCATCAATAGCCGATTGTGAAAAAGAAAAGAAACACTTAATTTTGCTCTTTGGTATCATTCTATCAATCTTGATTCCTTTCTTTGTAGAAAAAAATGAACAGAGTTTTACTTAATTTCGCGGTATGAGTATGTTTTCAACCTGCAGCCAATATCCAGAGCATAATCAGAGCTGAAATGGCTATGGTTATCCAGCTTAAGAAGGCTAAAACAACAGAGATTTGGAACTTTCGGCATTCGTCTCCGAAACTACAACGTCCCAAGTCGCTGAAGAACAATACCGCTACCCCACCGGAGGCGGAAGCTGCAGCGAGAGACAATGTTGCTGTCACCTGCAAACCAACAAATACCAGAAATGGTAGAACTCTTACTCATTAAGTCATAATCACAAGACACAATCATAGAGAATTAAAAACTTTTGTAGGTTCTCACCCAATCCCCAACTACAAAGAGGCTGACCAAAATAGGATTATGGAGCACCTTCTTTCTTGCCAATGCATATGCATCTAACAGTGCCAGCATAAAACTCCATGTCACTTGCAGACCCATCGATGCGATCACGTAGCTGAAAATCGTAAGCGAATCACAAACTATGAGTTCGTTTGGGGGAGAAGAAAATGTGACCGCAAAACATCATCCATATGCTTAAATCTGTGGCGTATATCTAATCAGATTTGATAACTTTACCATATGATAAAGATTTTGTTATATTCAATGAGTGATGATAAAATCCAATCAAGGAACCAAGAGTAATACTTAGAGAGAAAAATACAGCAAAGGCACAGAGTGTATGATGAGGGCAGGGACTTTTCATCTCGGACGTGCTGGACGAGCACGGGGTCGTATGGTATCAGGAGTGTGGTAACACCAAGGAACTGGAGAAAGGAATAAGCTATGACAGTATAGGAAGTTGAAACAAATTTTCTTCTATAATCATTTTCATTCCTTTCTCAAGTAGTATAAAACATAAGCTTTTATTTTCTTCTTCACGATTTAGGCTAGCTTATCCGCACTTCCACTAATCTCAAGGGACAACCATTTGACCTTACAACATGTTACAGCCAAAGAAACTAGTCTCTTCACTTTTTCGCCCAATTGACCACTAGGCCAACTCAAGTGGTTTACCTAACAATTTCTTTAACAAGAAACCAAGTTAAACTTGTTACAAAATGTTACCATCTCAAATTGAATGAATGAAGAATAACAGATACAGTAAATGTTAAACTCGAGAATGCAAGAGGCTCTACAAAAACAGATCTTGGAAAGAGCTAGACTAGAAAAACCCCAATAACAGGAGACACCCCCACCCCCACCGAATCTCCTTAAGGGTTTCATCAAATTAGAGAGCTCAAATGGAGTCCTCTATGAAATTACATGGCTTTATAACTTGCAAGGCAGCAGTCAGAAGCCACAACAACTACTATAAGGCTAGGATCACACATTGTATTAGTTTGCGCAACATCATTCCAACAATCTCAAATTCCATCAAGACTCTCCAGCCTTAAAAGCCTTATTCTCCATTGAAAAGTTAAACAAAAACTGATGAAGAATATTCGATCTCAATCACAACGAAGATAAGGGAGAAAGAAAATATACCAGAAAGCTGTGAAGTTATAGAAGCCAGAAGCAGTGGCCATAGAAGCGACAGACCCAACAGCAAGAACACATTGCAGAATCCTCAACACAAACCCAGTCAATGTCCCAGGCGTCCCAGCAAAATCCAACATATTTTCCCCCAAAATCGAAACACAATCAGAGATTCTCGATGCAACAAGAAACCCATTTTCTTCTCCTCCAATTCTCCATCCACAATCCACAGAGTACCGTCAATTAATCCCTACCCTTTTCACAAAACATTCGCCCAATCAAAACCCAGAAACCCAATCATAAAAAATTTTAAACGGATCAGCAGAATGCGAGGCGACAAATCTTTAATCGACAGAAAAAAAAAAAACAGAGTAATGTGGGTGTTGGTGGATTCTGGTGTGAGGGTAATGAAGGGATTACCAAACCTTGGTGCCATTGATCTCTGAGGAGTCAGAAAGGGGAGAACAAATGAAGAAAAAAGAAGGTTAAGTGACAATCCCTGAATCTAAATGGCCTTCTTCAGCGGCACGCGTTGATTGGCCCACCATATCCCCTGGATTTTGGTAGTGGAAGATCCAATTGGATTGCAAAAGAAGACAACTTGCGGGTGAAGACTGAAGAGGAGCTTTCTTACTTTTTAGTTTTTAGTGATTTTTTTACTCTTTTTGTCTAGCGGACTTTTGATTCATTTAGTATGTGTTGAGGAATTAATTTGATGTTTAATTTTACTATTACTTTCCATTTCAAAAACTAGTTTTTAATTATATGGTTATGCAAATCTAACCATAATTCAATATCTAGTTTTACACATGGTGGAACGTTGAGATAATAAAAATTATTGACATTAATTCTACGCCTTCAAACCTAAAAAAAACATTCAATATAGTTAAATTCAACCTTACAAACTTGGATAGAAAATAAGGTCGCTTTCTCATACCCATCCATGAACTTTTGTCTTATCCTGTGTGTATTTCTCATTTGTTTTTACTACAGAGTGGAGAATTTTTGTTTTATAGATTGCGCATGAGCTTTTGTCTTGTTCGGTGTGCATTTCTCATTTGTTTTTATTGTAGAGTGGAGAATTTTTGCTTTATGGATTGTTATACCACACAACTACAAACGTTCAATTATTTCTCCAACCCTTCATCTAACATTCATATGAAAAGACGAATCTAAATATAATTGAGTAGAAAAGATACTTATTGTCATTTTTAAAGTCAAGAGTTCGATCATCCACCCGATAAGTATCAAACTATGAGAAATGGAACCATTTGGGGTAGAGACTAAAAACATTGTTTTAGAGCTTAAATAATTCCAATTTAGAACTCCCATCAAGTCCCTTGGAAAAATGGATCTTAAGATATTCTTTAGCGTGAACTTGTTTGTAAATTGGAGGCCTTTCTTTCGACAATAGCTCCTTAATTCGTTCACATACTTTCGAGTTACCCACGTCCTCTCCTACATATGGTCGAAACAGGCTCGCCACTGAAATTCTTGGCCCGACCTTGTTTGCTGTCACCCTGTGGCTCACATTCACCATTTCATCATTTGATATGACCTGCCACAACAACAAAGGATCCATCAACACTAAATTTTTCAGACCATATGAACCAATTCCCAAATCGTTGGGTGGCACTTGCCTGAAGAAAATCCCCGAGGTTGATTACAAGAGCACCATGCAGAGGAGGGACATTGAACCAGCGATGGTCGTGCAAGACTAGGAGGCCACCGATTTGGTCCTGTAAAAGTATGGTGATGAAGTCGACATCGGTGTGGTTGTTGGTGCCCATGGTCAAGTCTGGTTCGGGGCAGGCTGGGTAGTAATGGCCGAACATTAGGAGCCCATCGGCGCAACCCATGTCCTTCAAATGGCTAGGGTCCAGCCCAAGAGCCTTCGATATCAGCTCAAACAGAGTCAACCCCAGTTTCTTCACTTCCTCTGTGTATTCAACCACTATTTCTCTGCCAATAATGTCACTGCATTCCAAATTATGATCATTTTCTATGTGGGTTTTGTTTTAAACAGAAAACCCATGTGGAATTTTTAAGAAGTGCATCAAATTGAGCTCAAAGTTACTAACTTTTTACCTGCAAATTTCAGGAATCTCTTGGGGATGGGGCGGATGAGGAGCCAGAGAAAAAGAAATGGTGTCCCTCCAGTTGGCTGCTCTGGATTGGAACAGATCGAAATTGGAAAAATGGTTCACTTTCTTACCTCTATCGCGGCTGTAGAATTGTTTCTTCACCTCAAAATCTTGTTCATGAAACCCTCGGATTCCATGGATCATTAGGTCCAGAACTTCCACCGGAATCCCGTGGTTCACCACCTGGAAGAATCCCCATTTCCGGCAGGCACCTCCGATCTAATCCACCACCACCTCTTCGCCGCCGTGGAGGTCGATGATCGGAATACTCAACTCCGACTCGGCGGCGGTGCTTACATCCTGTTTTCCGCAGTGAAATATAGGAGGGACTTTTGTAATTCCGGCGTCCAACAGCCCCTTCACGCCGGCTTTCGAGTTGTCGAACGATTCCAACTCGGCCCTTCTGGAGTTGAGTGACTCGGTTCCCATGGCGGCCATTTGAGGACATGATTGTTGATTGGTAGTTGAAATCAAGAGAGGCGATTTCAAATGGAATTTATATCGGAAGTCTTCGATTAAACAGTAGAAATCAATCAAGAAAGTCTTTGGGAAATTAGGATCACAAATTTTCTTGTCTGTTGTTAATCGTACAATTCGACAATTAATCTTCGTGGTTCGTCTTACAATATCCTGTTATTTTCTTCACAATGTAAGAATAAATTGTTATGTAATGATGGCATTTTAAGATTTTTCTAAATATACAAGACCACCGCTATTCTTTTTGTCCATTTTCAATTTTATCTTTAATTTATTAAAAAATTTCAATATATTGAAGATAAATTCTCAATTTGATAAAACCTCGAATATTAGGTATCATTGAATATATTTAAGGGAAATTCTAGCGGGCAGAAAATATATCCCCTGTTTCTAAAATTGTACAAATTTTCACTTGTATCAATAGTTTATCATATTCATATAACTAATATATCAAACACTAATATCAATATTATATCATATGTATATCGCATATATGTTGCACAAACACTCATATCATTAATATATCAAATGGGATACTTATGATACTTATATCATAGGTATAGCACATACATATATCACTAATAAGATATACTACAGATATATTATCGTATTTGAGTAATGTCATTTTAAAATTAAATATAGTTGCTATTTTAGTAATTTTACTAAACGTTTTTACCATATTTACAATTGTTCTATATTTAACATTTAAATTGTAACTAAATTAACTTAATGTGGTAGACAATTAAACAACTTTTTAGTCGTTGATTTAGAATATATATAATTTGTGGATGTCATTTAGCTAATTAGCTAATGTTTCATCTAATCCAAAAAAAAAATGTCCTTAAAGTTGCATTTCTCTTTATATCTCAAACAACTTGTCCATAATTATTTTTTCAATACATATATTCAAAAAAGAAAAGAAAAACTTAGTGCACAATTATTTCTCCCGAAACAATGCATCTGAGTTGCAGAAACATTGTTCTACAGCTTAAACAACTCTAATTTTGAACTCCCATCAAATCCTTTTGAAGCGTGTAGCTTAATATATTCTTTGGGATCAACCTGTTTGTATTTTGGAGGGTTGTCTTCCGATAACAACTCTTTAATCGGTTCATATACTTTCGAGTTTCCCACGTCCTCTCCTACGTAGGGTCGAAACTGACTTGCTACTGAAACCCTTGGCCCTATCTTTTTCGCCGCCACCCTGTGGCTCACACTCACCATTGCATCGTTGGATACAATCTGCTAGAAACAGCAAAACACATATATTCACTATTTTCCTCCATCACAATATTAAAAATTAAGTCAAATTTCAAGTTCCATCGTCTCATAACCTTATAGATTGCTTCTATGCAGTTCATGTACTAAAAAAAAAATATTTTTGTCGAATAGATTAAGTCTTGTCTACTTAACTAAGACGCAATATAGTTGATTACGAGCAGGTTCATCCATTTAGAGGTGTAAGCGTTAAGTTGACCTAACTAACGATAGCTAGGGATCTACTCGATAGAAATTGACTGAAATCTCGAGAGATGTATTAAGACTTTTTTAAAGATGAATTGGGCGGCACTTTCCTGAAGGAAATCACCAAGGTTGATCACAAGAGCTCCATGGAGGGGAGGAACATGGAGCCAGCGATTGTGGTGCAAGACTTGGAGGCCACCAATTTGGTCCTGTAAAAGTATGGTGATGAAGGCAACGTCGGTGTGGTTGGCGGTGCCGATGGTGAGGTGTGGTTCAGGGCAGGGTGGGTAGTAATGGCTCAACATTAGGACCCCATCGGCGCACCCAATGTCCTTCAAATGGCTACCTTCGAGCCCAAGAGCCTTGGATATCAGCTCCAACAGAATCCACCCTAGTTTCTTTACTTCCTTTGTGTATTCAATCACTATTTCTCTGCCAATAATGCCATTCCACATCAGCATTTTCTCAGTCACTCAAAACTACTACTATTTAAAGATCATGGGATAGGGTCTGAGTTCTATTCCTTAAGTAAGATTGTCAACCCTACACAAAATTAAAGTCTAAAAATTTATTAAAAGTTCAAGGTCTTCTTATAAATACCTCATTAAAAAAAAAGAGAGAATCATTTTACTCATAATCTTGATAGGTTGTATTAATTTTTCCCATAAACTTTTAATTTCATCCACTTAGGACACTAAACTTAGACTTATATAAATGTGGCAATGTTTACTATTTATTTAATTTCTGTTAATTTCAACGAAGTTTGGCACAATATTATTAATTGATGTACAAAATCAATAATTAAATAACTCAATCAAAATTCACAAATTAAAAAAAAAAAAGTAAAAAGACAAACTCTTAGCTCATTCTTCTCATAAATACCATAACTTTTTTTCCAACAACAGGTGAAAATAGAAATTGATTCGAACTTTTAATCTTTTCATCGCAGATATATATCTTATTTAGTTCAKCTATACTCAGGTTGACATAAATTCAAAATAGATATTTATTTTTTTATGTGCAGCAACTTTTGAAAGTACCGATTCAAACTTCCAATCTTTTGATCTTAAATATATATCTCGTTCAATTTAGCTCACGTCGACATATATTTTATTTTTAAATAACATATCATATAACAAAAATTGCAAACACGTTTTTCACATTTAAGCTAAAATTTGTCGTAGTTCTCTAAACTTAAATGAAATCCAATGAAATTGGGAGTTCAGAATAAAAATGGATAAACCAGACCAAATTGGGAGGTTAAAGAGAGCAGAGAAAAACAACATTTACGACCAAATTGATAAGCGTTTGTAAGATTTACCTACAAATTTCAGGTATCTCATGAGGATCGGGATGGATTGGAGCCATGGACAAAGAAAGAGTGTCTTTCCAATTAGCTGCTTTTGATTGGAACAGATCGAAATTTGAAAAATAGGCCACTTTCTTACCACGATCCCGGCTGTAAAATTGTTTCTTCCACTCCAAATCTTGTTCGTGAAACCCACGGATTCCGTCAATCATTCCGTCCAAAACTTCCACCGGAATCCCGTGGTTCACCACCTGGAAGAATCCCCATTTCCGGCAGGCACTTCCGATCTGATCCATCACCACCTCTTCGCCGCCGTGGAGGTCGATGATCGGAATACTCAGCTCCGACTCGGCGGCGGCGTTGAGATCCTGTTTCTGGCAGTGAAATATGGGAGGGATTTTGGTGATTCCGGCATCCGACAGCCCCTTAGCGCCGGCTTTCGAGTTGTCGAACGATTCCAACTCGGCTCTTCTGGAGCTGAGTGACTCGGTTCCGGTTCCAATGGCGGCCATTTGATTCCAACTCTGAGGTGTATAATTGAGCTTATTGGATTTTTATTTTTCTATTAGGGAATTAGGATATAGCTGAAACGTGAGGCCATTAAAAAATCTCTCTTTTGTCCGTCGGTGACCATACTTTTACCTCCTATAAGTCTTGTGTTAAAAAAAAAAAGTAATTTAAATAAAAGGATTTTATAAATAAATAGTTCTTTAAGTAATAATTAAAAAATTTTAATTTGAATAAAAAAATTTAAAGCAGGTGTTGAATGATAAATTATTATTTTACGAAATTAGATATTTCTTCACTTTCTCAAACGCCCTTTTGGCAATCCTAGGTAATAGTATCCGGATCAAAGAGCTAACACGAAGGGGATTCCTTTTTGGCTGATAGGTACTGTAACAGGTATTCCTGTGATCGGTCATTGGAGAGGTACTTAACAACCAAATATGAACACCATGGCTTTTTTAAATTACTTTTTGAACCAATTACAAATTGACACATGTCTCTGAATTAAATTAAAAGACATAAAATTGGTATATCAAATAAAACCATTTTTCTCCACATCGTTGTCCTAAAAAATGAAATAATTAAATCATTTGTCATAAATTAATCTAATTGGATTATGAGTCAAAGCTAGCATCGCTAAATGGTAATTGACATATACTTCCAACTACAAGGTTGTGAGTTCGAATCACCTCCCTAACATGTTGTACTAAAAAAAATCTAATTAGATTATGATACGTAAAAGTCTCGTAAAAAAAATATATTTTATCATGTGATTGATAGATTTGTTATTGTTTAGGTCATATCTACCATAGCTGAAAAGCCCCATAAAAATAAAAAGTGCACAGAAACTAGAAAGATAGATTATTAAGGGGATATTATAATACCATGTTCCTCGAATCAAAATACATTATACATTATTGAAATTTAAAGACATGTCCAAAGTTTGAAATGTTCGAGTCCAGAGATCCCATTAAGACCTTGTTCATAATAGTGAGCCACGTAGTCTTTAATGGTGGTTTCTCTATAAATGGCAGGATTTTGGTCTGAAATTAACTCTTTAATTGGTCCATAAACTCTACCATTCTCCGGCGGGAGATTGCACCTGAAAAAACATGCCACTGAAATTCTTGGCCCTATTTTCTTTGCCATAACTCTGTGATTCACACTTTTGAACCTGTCATTGGAAATCAGCTGAAAAAAGAATACCAAATAGCATCACTTCAACTAGCCAAAACTAAATCTTTTGGTATTTCAATTTTGTTCTGGATGCTTTAATAGTTTTAATTTCTTCTTTTATATGTTGAACTATTTTCTCCTTAAGTTTTTGTAACGTTAAAATTAATTATCAAATTAGTTATATAACGTCAAAATTCACCCTATTAATTGAGATAAAATACTTTATATTTTAATTTGGTGAAAATAAACCTTCCACTTAACCTTAATTACTTTACGTGTGAGCATTAACATGTAGGGTAAAAATTTTAACTCACCACCGATAGGTGCCTTAAAGACTTTTTTTTTTTTTTTTTTGAGATGGTGCCTTAAAGACTTAAAGCTTAGGTTGACTTTGGCATATTTTTTTTAAGCTCAAATAAATACTTGCAATTGGTAACTTACAATTTCGACATCTCTAAACTCATATTTCTTCGCTAGAAAAAAAATTGAAAAGCACAATTTGGTACTTTAGAATTTTAAGTGATTTGAAATGAATTTGATTGTTCGATGCCTCATAATTTTAGATAAAAATTCAAATCGGTAAAAGATTTTTTTGAATCAAAATGGTTTGGTTCAATTTTATGGATTTCATAGAATTTCAAAATAAATTACTTATTCAACTTTATCATAATTTAATAGGTAATTAAGAAAATTTATATAAAAAGCCTAAATTAATTTTTTTTTTCATTTCAAATCATTATAGTTCCAAACAACAATTTTAAATTAGGTCTTAGATTTAATGCACCGTTCACTTACCCACAAATCGTAATCAAGAAATTGTAATGAAAACTTTCATTCGTGTTTACGAAGAATGAAATCAAATAGTAGTACCATCTCAAATTTTGTAACCTCATTACTTAAATCGTGTATTCATTACACTCCTACCACCAATCAATCTCATTCATATTCCTTATTCCGTGGTTTCCACATATTATTATAATTAATTTACAATTTTTAATCTTTCTCTCTTATCTATTAATTAGACTCGTACAATTTTTAATTAATTTTTTTATACTTTTATAATTTCTTCTCTATTTAGAGTTCAATTTAGTTGATAGGATTTTATTATATAATATTGTAAATTAATATTAATTAATATGAACATATTTTTTTTATACAGAAATTATTATTTTTAGATATTAGAATAATTATTATATTAATTTTACTTTAATTATTCATTATTTATTAATATTAATGAATAAATCGAGGGTTAAGATCCAAAGGATTTTGACTCGAATACTTCGAAATGTTGTAAGGGTGAAAATGAAATTGAGGCTTACCTGCAAGAAATCGCCAACGTTGACAACAAGAGCACCATCAACCGGAGAAACATCGACCCACCGATCCCCACGGCGGACCTGGAGGCCGCCGATCTGGTCCTGCAGCAGCACCGTCAAAAAACTGCTGTCGGAATGATCGGTGGTTCCCCAAGTGAGCTCCGGCTCCGGACACGGCGGATAGTAATGGCTGAACATCACCATTCCGTCCCCACAGCCCATCTCTCTCAGCCGATTCGGCCCCACCCCAAAGCCTCCGACGCCAATTCCATCAGAAACTGCCCCAATTACAACACCCTTTTCGAATACTCCGCCGTGATTTCCCTACAAGCCAAGGGTATGTCCTCCGGCTCTGCCCCACGAGGGGCCACCACGCAGCTCAGCGTATCCCTCCAGTTCGTCGAAACCCCTCTGTACAAATCGAAATTCGTGTTGAAAAGTACCTTTCTGGCCACGAAATCGCGCGAGTACAGTTTCCTCTTGATCTCGTCGTCTTCCTCGTGAAACCGCCGCGTTCCGTTGATCATCTCCGCCGTCACGCTCGACGGAATCCCGTGGTTGATGATTTGAAAGAACCCCCAATTTTCGCAAGCGGCTCGGATCTGATCGATTGTCTTCCCTCGCGATTGGGGGTTTTGGGCCGTCGATTCCAGATCTATAATTGGGATCCCTAAATTGGAGTTGTCGGATTCAGACGCTGCAGCCATCGCCGCCGCCGGGGATTCGATGGGCGACGTCGGATCATCGTGGATGAAGATTTTGGGGATTTTGGTAAGGCCTGAATCGACTAAACCCTTGACTCCCAGTTTGGTTTCGTCGAAAGCTTTGAGCTCTGTTTGGCGGTCGTAGCCGTTGGGATTTGTTTCTCCATTGCAACTCTTCATCATCTTCTTCTTCTTCGGATTCTTTTGGACTATTTTTCTCAGTCGGTAGCATTTTTAAATAGGATTGATTAATGCGAAGCTTCAATTATTGATAATATAATAATCAAACATTGTGGATCTTTAATAAACTTAAATTAATTGGTAATGGAACGTGACGGGTTTATTAGATAACATATAATACAATTAACATGACATAGTGGATAATCAATGATATTTTAGCCTTAACAAGTCATCTCGGCTAATCACGTTCGCTTCTCAGATTTAACTTTCATTGGCCTAAATAATCGTCAAATTCCTACTATCACCCTAAACTGTTGGGATAAAGCAATATAAGTTATTGTGTCTTTCCTGTCTTTTTCTTTGTATTGTGGCTTAATATAACTATGGAAGAAGAAATTATTTGGAGTGTCTGATTTTCCAACCATACCAAATAAATATTTATAAAAAATTTAAAAATTATACCAAGAAATTTGGGGCAATTACATAAATAATGTAAAAATTGGTTAATAATTATATAGCGGTACAGTTTAAAATTTTTAAAATAATAATATTCAAAGCAAAATCAAACTCAAAGTCTCATCCAAATTACAACACAAAAAAGTCCAGCCTACGGAACGAACAAACAAAAAAAGTAAGCAACATTTTTTTAAATATATATTAATTTATTTTATGTAATGTAATTTCTCAAGTAACCACTTATATGTGAATATGAATAAAAGAAAAATAATGGTCATGAATATAATTTATCGATAAATAGTATTTATATCCATCATAAAAACGACTGTAAAATACAAGTCAATCACAAATCATAAAGTCTTGTATTAGCATCCTGTACTGATCACAATGTTGACCAGTCTAACATGTCAATGTTCAAAAATCTAAAATGTTACATGTCTTCCATGTTCAAAGTGCAGAGATTCCATTGAGGCCCTTTTGATTGAAGTGAGCCACGTAGTTGTTGAGGGTTGTTTCTTTGTAAATGGCAGGATTTTGCTCTGAAATTAACTCCTTAATTGGTCCATAAACTTTATCAGTCTCCGGCGGAGAATTGCACCTAAAAAAACATGCCACCGAAATTCTTGGCCCCATCCTCTTCGCCATCACCCTATGATCCACACTTATGAACCTGTCGTTGGAAATCAGCTGCAAAACAATACCAAAGGTTTTCAACAACCCAAAACTACTTTTATCATCTACCAATGTTTTAATACTTTAAATCCTTCCTATATATATTGAATTAATTCTTCTTGTCAATATCATAACTGAGAGATCCAAAATTTTATATTAGAAGGAAAACAAATTCATATAAACATATAAAAGAAAAATATCAATTTTAATCGTGAATTGTTATCTTAAACTTTCAATTACATTAAATTGTACCTTAAATTTGGATACATGTTGTTGCAATCTTCAACTTACTTGAAAAAAGTACGGCAAATTTTAAAAAATTGTTGAAAAATATTTCTATAGGTGTCAAATGAGTTATAAGATAGGTATTTGATATTAAATTAATAGGATTTAAACAAAAAGAATATATACTGAAGGAGGTTTTGTTTTTTCTTGAAATTTGTAAGTTTTGATAGAATCAGTGAATTATTTTTACCTTACCCTACTTCAAACTTGAATTTTATTAAATTAATCAGCTTTTCTACC